TCTGGGCACTTTTACAGGCACCCTAAGAGCTCAACTTAGGAAAAAAAGGTATGTTGAAAGGACAACAAAATCCTAGCAGCTTCTAGTACATGCTTTCATTAAGAGTTAGTTACTGTCAAGTGAGGAGCATAACACTTAGCATGTGCCTGATATCTGATCCAAACTGTTAGCATCAAGTAAGGGACAAACAGGATTCTTCCTCCCCCACACCCATTTTCCACAATTATCAGTACAGTATGATCCATGAAGAATGTTTTCAGAGTAGAGGTTCAATGAAAACCTATATTTACACAGGATGGTTCTAGATTTCAGGCTTTGTGCAACAAGAATCTGTTCTTTCACTTGAACTAGTCCATGACTAAAAGGAGTACGGCTGCTGTACCCAATTCAAGAGGGGAATACGACTTGCAGCTTTAGGACAGCCTGTTCAGAAGCAGCAGAGATGCAGTCAGCTAGAGATATTAAAGGCACTGTAGAAGAGATAAAGACATTGTAAACAATGTTTCAATTACTAGCCAACAGGAAATACTGGAAGTCTTAAGAAGCCAGATTTAGTGAAGCTGCATCTGGAGGCTGAAAGCCAAACTACTCCACGATGTGGAAACTATGGCCCACAACAGTGTTCCTGTGTGGACTCATTTACTCACGGAAAATTTTCATTACATTCAGTACCTAATCAAAGAGACCGTGACTAACCTGGAACATTCACAGCAAAGCAGAAGCTCTATTTGGGTTTTTTCTGCCTCACATGCCAGCTGATTAAGAGTTAAATAGTATCTAAAAAAACCTGAGCACTTAAAAGTCTGTAGTTATGTCCAGTTACAAAGAGGTCAAGTGCCAGTTTACACTGGGGGGGGGGAAATCAATAATCGGGCAAAAACAGCTCTGATCAGTTTAGGACACGTCTCATGCTTGGTGTGCTTTCCATTTTGAGTGCAATTAGCAGTCAGATCAGAAGCCCATGAACAACTTGCACTGATCATTTTACCTGATTAAAGTTCAATACATGTAGTTACAGGAATCAGATTAGTGCAAGAAGCTCGAGTTAATTAAGGACTTTATGCCCTGCACACACTGCAAAGAACTGTCAAGGCTCTGGCTCCTATCTGGTCTTAGAGAGCACAAAGTGTGTCCCTGAAAACCAAACAAACCTTTTAACGTAGATGCAGGGCATGGGTTGCATACTTACAAAAAGGAATCACATATGGTTTTTTGTATATTTTACCCAGATACTTATTCCTAGCATCAGAATTGCTCAGGTCTATTCAAACAAGGCAACCACTACCTCCATTCAACCTACAGTTGACTCGTGTTCAGTTTGTCCATGAGGACCAAACATCAGGTCAAATAAAGGCAAAGCATCCAAAGTATTATTTTAAATGGCTTTTAAGCCACTACTGGGCAACATTAGGCACGAGTAGCTCTGCCACAGAGATGTTGCATACCAGTTTAACAAAAGCCACCTAGGAACAGTTTTATTAGCACATTTAATAGTAGTTATCCCCTCCTAGTCCTACATGAAGGGGGAAAGGTTTAATTATCTTACCAAGAAATCATCAGATAGGAAGCAGGCTAGATTCTGTCCTGTGGAGAAGTTATTTTTCAAAAAAGTATTATTTCTGCCACTTGATGTAGTTGCATACTCCTTCACCTTCCCTGAAGATAAAATTGAGTATTTTGGTCTCATTCTCCTTATTACAACAAACCCTGGCTTCTCATGTTCACTGCAACTACAGAACCTTTGCTGTTATTGTGTACTATTAAAGAGAGGAGAGAGAAAGGGGCAGATCCAGACTAATAACCATGGCAGGGAGGACAAACCCTGGTAGGCTGAACTCTTCTTCCTATCAAGAACATACAGAGGTCTCACGTTAAGAACCCTTTTCAGTGCCAGTTCCTAACCACCTGCAGATATAGCATGCTCGGTCTCAGGAGAGCACAGATTTGGTGTAGGTTACCTCCACTCATTTAAAACATTCCACTTGTGGGAAGCAAAACTGAAGAGGTGCTTCACTATAAGCTTTCCTTAACAGGTTTTTCTCACACATCTGCTTAGCTTAACAAACACAGAGGAAGTGTTACTCAACAAGACTAGCTTCATTACACATCACATGATGCCCAGCCAGAGCAGTCATTCTTGATTAGGCAACGCAACTGTCAGAACAGGAGTCAGTTATGAGCAATATTTCATTACAAAGCCAAGTTCTTCACTTTTTATATTTATATATATATATATATATATATATATATATATATATATATATATATATATATATATATATATATATATATATATATATATATATATATATATATATATATATATATATATATATATATATATATATATATATATATATATATATATATATATATATATATATATATATATATATATATATATATATATATATATATATATATATATATATATATATATATATATATATATATATATATATATATATATATATATATATATATATATATATATATATATATATATATATATATATATATATATATATATATATATATATATATATATATATATATATATATATATATATATATATATATATATATATATATATATATATATATATATATATATATATATATATATATATATATATATATATATATATATATATAAAAAGTGAAGAACTTGGCTTTGTAATGAAATATTGCTCATAACTGACTCCTGTTCTGACAGTTGCGTTGCCTAATCAAGAATGACTGCTCTGGCTGGGCATCATGTGATGTGTAATGAAGCTAGTCTTGTTGAGTAACACTTCCTCTGTGTTTGTTAAGCTAAGCAGATGTGTGAGAAAAACCTGTTAAGGAAAGCTTATAGTGAAGCACCTCTTCAGTTTTGCTTCCCACAAGTGGAATGTTTTAAATGAGTGGAGGTAACCTACACCAAATCTGTGCTCTCCTGAGACCGAGCATGCTATATCTGCAGGTGGTTAGGAACTGGCACTGAAAAGGGTTCTTAACGTGAGACCTCTGTATGTTCTTGATAGGAAGAAGAGTTCAGCCTACCAGGGTTTGTCCTCCCTGCCATGGTTATTAGTCTGGATCTGCCCCTTTCTCTCTCCTCTCTTTAATAGTACACAATAACAGCAAAGGTTCTGTAGTTGCAGTGAACATGAGAAGCCAGGGTTTGTTGTAATAAGGAGAATGAGACCAAAATACTCAATTTTATCTTCAGGGAAGGTGAAGGAGTATGCAACTACATCAAGTGGCAGAAATAATACTTTTTTGAAAAATAACTTCTCCACAGGACAGAATCTAGCCTGCTTCCTATCTGATGATTTCTTGGTAAGATAATTAAACCTTTCCCCCTTCATGTAGGACTAGGAGGGGATAACTACTATTAAATGTGCTAATAAAACTGTTCCTAGGTGGCTTTTGTTAAACTGGTATGCAACATCTCTGTGGCAGAGCTACTCGTGCCTAATGTTGCCCAGTAGTGGCTTAAAAGCCATTTAAAATAATACTTTGGATGCTTTGCCTTTATTTGACCTGATGTTTGGTCCTCATGGACAAACTGAACACGAGTCAACTGTAGGTTGAATGGAGGTAGTGGTTGCCTTGTTTGAATAGACCTGAGCAATTCTGATGCTAGGAATAAGTATCTGGGTAAAATATACAAAAAACCATATGTGATTCCTTTTTGTAAGTATGCAACCCATGCCCTGCATCTACGTTAAAAGGTTTGTTTGGTTTTCAGGGACACACTTTGTGCTCTCTAAGACCAGATAGGAGCCAGAGCCTTGACAGTTCTTTGCAGTGTGTGCAGGGCATAAAGTCCTTAATTAACTCGAGCTTCTTGCACTAATCTGATTCCTGTAACTACATGTATTGAACTTTAATCAGGTAAAATGATCAGTGCAAGTTGTTCATGGGCTTCTGATCTGACTGCTAATTGCACTCAAAATGGAAAGCACACCAAGCATGAGACGTGTCCTAAACTGATCAGAGCTGTTTTTGCCCGATTATTGATTTCCCCCCCCCCAGTGTAAACTGGCACTTGACCTCTTTGTAACTGGACATAACTACAGACTTTTAAGTGCTCAGGTTTTTTTAGATACTATTTAACTCTTAATCAGCTGGCATGTGAGGCAGAAAAAACCCAAATAGAGCTTCTGCTTTGCTGTGAATGTTCCAGGTTAGTCACGGTCTCTTTGATTAGGTACTGAATGTAATGAAAATTTTCCGTGAGTAAATGAGTCCACACAGGAACACTGTTGTGGGCCATAGTTTCCACATCGTGGAGTAGTTTGGCTTTCAGCCTCCAGATGCAGCTTCACTAAATCTGGCTTCTTAAGACTTCCAGTATTTCCTGTTGGCTAGTAATTGAAACATTGTTTACATTACAAAGCCAAGTTCTTCACTTTTTATATATATATATATATATATATATATATATATATAAAACAAACCAAAACTCTAAAATGAAAACTAGTAAAAACTCTGCTTACCAATGACTCAAACAGTGACTTTATTTAGAGACAAAACACTTAAATAGAAAGATGAACTCCCATCTGAGCACAGTTGAACTCCTTCATAAACCACTACCCTGCAAACACATAAGCTCCGACATGCATCGAAACTACATCGGCTCAACAGTTGTCTCGGCCCCGCAGGTCACACAGACACGCACTTCAACTTCCCCAGGTCAAGGGATAGATCCCCGCAGACGCTTCTTTACCGGGATTGTGCATCCTTTGGTTCCTAAACTGTGTGGCTTTCAGTGCTTTAGTGTTCATCACACACACACACACACACGCGCGCGGCAGAGTCTCCGTGGGCCGTTCAAGTGTGGACACGCACGTGTTTCTCGGAGGCAAGCCCCCGCAGGAGGACACCGCCCCGGGGGGAGGGGGCAGCCCCCCGCCCCGAGAAAGCACCCTGCACCCCGGGAGGTTGAAGACCCGGCGGAACAAAGCTCCCAGCGCGACTCGGGGCGCGGGGGGGAGGGGGGCCGCGCTCACCGCGATGACGTTGACGAAGGTGGTCTTGCCCGAGTACTGCAGCCCCACCAGCGTCAGCTCCATCTCCTCCTTCCAGAAGAGCGAGCGGAACCAGTCCAGCAACCGCGACAGCAGCGCCAGCATGATGGCGGCAGACGGGCCCCGCGCTGCGGCCCG